AGTACGCATTATATAGAGTATTATCCCTAGAACACTTTTGAAAAAATCCCTCTAACCCCAATCCCCCCAAATCCAATTCAATCCCCCCCCCCCCCCCCCCCCCCCCCCCCAAAAAAAGCTCACATCTTCCTCTTAATCAGACCCTTAAAGAAATCAAAACTGTTACTGTCACTCTGAAGCTCCCACGTCTTCCCCGTAGGACGGTCCTCCCACCCCAACTCCTCCGCCACAAGCAAGCCATAATCACTGGTGATCCCCTTGATGCGCGCGCTCACCCCACCCTCCGCCTCCAGGGTGACGATTTGATCCATATGCAGCCAGTCTGCATAGTACAGGTCGAAGAAATGCTCGTCAAAGCCTGTGCGTAGGAAGCGGGCGTATAAGGACTCGAAGGCGGTGAGGATGCGGGCGAGGAGCTTCTCGAGGGTTAGCGGGGGGAGACTTTTATTGGAGGGTGATTTCTGGGCGAGGGAGGATAAGAGGGCGTGAAGAGAGGTGGTTGGGGAGGGATTTAGGGCGTTGATCCCGATGCCGACGACGGCGATGTATTCTGCGGAGGAGTAGTGGGCATTTACGAGAATGCCTGTTATTTTTGTGTAGGATTTGGAATCGGGTTTGGTAGGATCTAGGGCGTCTAGAGGTATTATTTGAGTAAGGGGGTATTGGATTAGTTGGATATTATTATTTATTATTTATTATTAAAGCGGAAGAATGGGGAGGAAAGGGCAGCCGGGGAGGGGTGTTTACATATATCATTTGGCCACTTCAGTTTTATGGGCATGTTTTCATATCCCTTGTCGTAGCTCTTGATGCCTTGGGCGATGGCGATGGCGGCGATATACTGTATAAACACCACCGGAGCGCGGGTCATATTGCTGACGGCGTGCTTTATGACGATTGAGAACATTAGCTGACCAGATGGCGAGACCCAGACGTTGGACCCGCGGCCTCGTCCGGCCACTTGGACCGTCGCAGTAGCCACGAATCCATGTGGGAGCCTTCGGAGTAGTTGCGTATTCCTATAATTCGTGTAAGTGACAGGACATGACAGTAAGCAGTGTGATGGAATTCATACTGCTCAAGGAGACTACTTGTGCTCGTGACGACCTCTCCATACAATATATTCGAGCCGAATTCATGAATTTCCTCTTTCGACTGCGAGCGGTATTCCTTGAGATTTCCGTAGAATGCGTGGTGGTTGAAGGAAGGGGTAGCTTTGGAGGAAGGAATTTCGTCATGAACAACCACTTCTTTGATAACAGAATTATAATCCAAGAATGTGTCAGAATCACCCCCTTGGCCAGTTTTCGAAATGCCAGCAGGCAGGGATTCAGCTATATCTCTCATTCCCATTGACGATGGTTTCTTGAGATGGAAAGTATCAATATCGTCTTTAATATACTCCTCTCCATCAGTCACGGTAATGATATCTCGAAGGGCGGAGATCAGCTCAGCGCCCCCCTGAGGAACCAGAGAGGAAAGATGTAATCGGGATAGCGATGGCACAGTGGACGAGTCTTGATTAACCCGAAGGCCCAGTTTCGTCAAACAAGCCTTCAAGAAACTCACCCTCGATTCATCGTCTCCAGCCAAAACATCGACGATTTTGTGATATTCGGGCCCATCAGCGTTTCTGTCAAGATTGGAGGCAGCAAACCTGGGCTTCGTCAGTTCCCAGCTATCAATCGTCTTTGCAGGAAATACAAACTCTGGATGAGCCCCAGTGAGGATTGCTGCTCCCTCGCCCACCTTACAGTAAACGACCGTAGCCGAGCCCTCTCCAGAGTCCACACTGAGATCTTCCGTGTAACTAGCGAGAACTTCCACCCCTTGGTCCGCATATTTAGGCGCATCAACAAAGACACCTCCGCCATTATAATAAGCCTTGAAAACCTCCGGCACGGACCCAAACGCTTGCGCAGATTTTGATACCTTGAGCTCCGCCGCTCGAGCACCATCTTCACTATCGTATACAAACCCGGGAAACGCACATCCTCGACATATTCCGGGAAAGAAAGCCAGCTCCCTGTCACCAACAACTTCCAGCTTCTTGTTCCCAACCTCGAACTCACACCGTTTGCTGGCAAAGTAACCGCCCGCGCAAAAGCCCAGGTACGCCCCGCCCCGCTGAACGAATTGACTAATCCTCCGATTCCCCTCGCCGTTCAGAGTCCTGCAGTACGGTAAGTCCGCGCCGCCAGGCATTACTAGCAGCGCACAGGAAGCAGTCCAAGGCTCATTGACGATCATTTGCCCCGTTACGGGGATCACAGCGTAGTTCGCAGCCAAGAGCCGGCGGAGAGAGTAGAGGCAGTGGCGGACGGCGTCGACGGTAGTTCCATTTCCTGGAGCAGCGGGGGTCAGAATATTGGTTTTCCAATCGGAATAAGTTTGCGCACCAGAATAGACCAGCACGTTCAACCTTTTAGAGAGGAGGACGGGGTTGGTGGTCATTTTGTAGTAGGATAGCTGGTTCCTCTGCGGGGGGCAGTGTTGACTATTTAATATATTTATCTGAAGCTGGTCCAAGATTTTCCCAGTAACTTGGTTATTTGCTTTGCTCCAACCACAGGAAAAGAACTGCACCACGATGTCCAAAACAGAGAAGAAGCCGCCGGTCGCGCAGACTGTGGAGGACGACGGGCCTGATGAATGGTATGAGGCCTCCTTTCTCCGTCGCCTTGAAGCCAAGGGAGCGTAGTCACCGACTTATTTAAATAGCTGGTGTGCTGGCTGACAACGCAAATATCTATGCAGGGACAAGCGGATTTTCAGCACCGGATGTGCAGGTAGGACGCGGTCCCTCTAATATCGGGACTGGAAAGAAGATTCTAACGAGAGGCCATTGGGGATGACAGCGGAGCAGCTAAAGATGAACGATTGCTACTATGAGAAACGAGACTGGCGAGCATGCAAAAAAGAAGTACGTTGAGCCTTCCAACCTGCGGGATAGACTACTACTCTATGCGCCCCAGCTTATCCTCTGCTACGATCCACCGCGATTCATGATCTACGCATATGGTATCAGGATATAGATGCTGATTTGGGCCTGTTTGATTGAACCCTACAGATGGAAGCATTCCGTGAATGCTGGAAACGGCACGGCAACGAAAAGCGGACGGAGTCAAAGGACTTTTAAAAGGGAACTGCTGCACCCCGCTCTATGTTCTATTTGTCTATGTATATCACTATTTATATTCTGTTTTCCCGGCTTCAATTGGTATAAATATCCTCCTATAGAAATCTCATCTTATCACCCAATATTTATCCATGTCACGGGATTGACCTCCAGCCCAAAAAAGAAACAATCCGAAGCAATATTTAGACAGAAACATCGCAGCTTCAACACAACGCAGCCACCGACTACAAAACCTGACTGACTGGCATCTGCTCAGCCAGATCACCATTCATAATGGCATCCAGTACGCTTCGCACAATCAGTTGGACTGCATCGCGGAAAGCAGCCCTCTCCGTCTCCAGAGCTCAGCTATCCTTCAGCCAATTCCGCTCCATTACCAGCTCATCCACATATCGCCAGTCGCAATCCTCAGCATCTAAAGCGTCGACGCTCTCTGCATCTGCCTCTTCTACCCCTACCACTACTCCTGCATCACCGCCCGCTTCTTCGTCTACATCAACAATCTCATCCTCAAACTCTCCCTCCCGTACTACATCCTCTGCAAAACCCACTCCAACAACAACCACTATACAAAATCTCAGCAAGACCGGTTTAGACGACAAACCCACGGACCTCGACATCTCAAACTCCGCCGGCAATGATGACAACAATAAGGATCACATCGACTGGACGCGCTCGTTCCACGGTCTCAGCGCCCAGCCCTTCTCAAAGGAAGCGGCCGAAGTCCTCCTTCAAGAAATAAATTCAGACGACGTCGAGATAAAACCCGATGGCATCGTCTATCTTCCCGAGATTAAATATCGGCGCATACTGAATAAAGCGTTTGGCCCGGGTGGTTGGGGACTTGCGCCGCGCGGCGAGAGTATTGTCACAGCCAAGACCGTGACGAGGGAGTATGCGCTCGTTGCGCATGGCCGGTTTGTAATCCCTTTTCCTCCCTTTCCCCGCTTCATTTTCTATACGCAGTATCAAGAAATCATCCCATGCAATATGAAATACATGTAATCTAACGAAATTTCGTTTTCCTCCAAAAGCCTCGTCTCCGTCGCGCGCGGAGAACAAGACTATTTCTCCCCCGACGGCATCCCCACCGCGACAGAGGGCTGCAAGTCCAACGCCATGATGCGCTGCTGCAAGGATTTAGGCGTGGCCAGCGAGCTCTGGGACCCCCGCTGGATCCGCCAGTTTAAAGCCAAGTACACCCGCGAGGCATTCGTGGAGCATGTGACGACGAAGCGTCGAACGAAGATCTGGCTTCGAAAGGATGACCCGGTATCGTACCCGTGGAAGGAGACCAAATGAGATATACATATATGACGTTGGATGGGTGGAACGCCCATTTTTCTGTTTGGGGGGTTTCGAATACAGGAAAAGGTAATGGGATGATACGACCCATTGAGGAATCAGCACGGCGTCTCTCCACTCCAAATGGAACAAGCCTGGAATCCATCCTGCTTCCTGCCACGCTCCGCCGCTGTGTACATGTCCAAGGGGACAGACATTTAGGGGTCCCTAGCCAGTTACAATATCTCCTCTTTTGCTACATATTACATCTCCAATTTATTCAACTCCGCATCCAAACATTTATCCATGTTGGTCCCGCACTCGAACTTGTACCCATGTGCAAGCCATTCCTTTCTGTTACCCGTCTCCCGCTGTGCCAGAATCATGAAAAAAAAAAAAAAAGAAAAGAAAAGAAAAGAAAAGAAAAAAGAAAAAAGAAATAAAAAGAAAAAAGCCAGATCGATCTGAACTTGCCTAAGTGGACAATTCCCCTAGGCGAATCGGAGTGTCCTGATATCTATCCCCGATTCCGATGCCGAAACTGAGATACCCATGCCATTCATCTGTTTCCTATGTATTATGATTATTATTATTATTATTATTATTATTATTACCATCATTGATCTATCCATCTCAACTTGTCTAGAAGGAGTTCGGGCAGCTGATCTGCTTCTGTTACCCCCCCCCCCCTCCCTCTTTTTCTTACAAAAAACGACGAGGACTTGTATGATAGATAGGTTCTGCATTACGAGATAATTCAAATAGAACATCTGGAATCGACGAATGTGTATTTCGCACTCATATCTATAGATACATGTATATAATATAAACCCCTTCCTTCATAGTGTTCTACAAACCAATCAATCACCAATCAATGTTCCAAGACCCGCTTCAACATAAAAAAACAAACATCGAAATACTCATCTCAATCCATATATATATACATTCTCACATCGATATTATAAACAATCAAATTTCCCCCTTCGTAGCAACCCTTGGCTCCGCACCACCAGCCAGCTAAGCCAGTCCTTTTCTCCTTTTATCAGTTTCCTTGTTTTTCGAATCTCCTCCCCCCGCCTTTCCCCCCCTAAAGAATTAAAATAAAATAAAAAATAAATAAATACAAGACTAGAAAAAATCTCCTGAGAAATATATATATATATATATATATATATTTCCAAAACGCTTATGATATTATCGTTCGCCATCACGCATCAGATCATTCAGATGTCTATCTATCCCCTTCAAATAAACTAAAATAAATAAAGTAATAAAAACCATGCATTACCCCCTTTTTTTCCTTCTCGCCTTCCGCCCGCCCCACATAAAAAAAAAAAAAAAATA